TTAGTAGTTCAGGTGTAACATGGTGTTACTGCATATTGGTAGGTTTGCTATTGCCTCCATGCCATCGTGAAAATGATTGATGTCGTGGCGCTCAATAGCTGGGATTTGTATTATGGACAAAATCCAATCGTCTTCCAATTTCCAACACAAAATATCGATTTCATGCAGTCATGGACTACTCCATAATCCCTGGAAAGATGGTACAGCATGGTACTATTTCAAATTGGTAGGTATGCTATTGCCTTCATGTCATGGTGAAATGAATCATGTCAAATACAGTTCTATGTATATCGTAGCACATAAATAGCAGAGATTTGCATTGTGGATAAAATGCAATCAAGAGCGTTGCAAACCAAAGTATCGCGACTTTGTACAGGCACGATAGATTACTTCAGAATTCCTCGAGAGATGGAGTAGTCCATGGTACAGCATGTATACTACATATAAGTATTCGTAGATAGTCTATGACCTCCATGTTAAGCTATACTCTGCGGTTGAGCTGTGACCTATAAGTTATAACTTATCTTCTTTCATTCTCGACATTTTAATAAACTTATTCCATTTTCCACCAAATTATTTTAGCCTCCTTCATTGTGGAGAGCAACAATTCTACATATATGGTACGGGTATATACAGCACATGGTATGATTTATCAGTAATTGCTCGGAGCTTGGGAGAATACTTACTTGTATTTTGTGCGTATAATAAGGTAGGATTCGCATTAGATCTACATTTACTGTTCATGACATTTCCCTAGCTAATGTGAACGTGTCAGCACGAAACAGTCTAGGCAATATAAGGTCTGATAAGTGTTTTCTTGCTATGGAGAGTTTAGGCTCGGATAACTAGGCTGCAAGCCAATGGCGACAATATTGTAATATGATTTGTATTTAGGCAACAATGAGGAATGCTAGTAACTGCTAGAGGAGAAGGAATAGGTTGAATTGGATCGAGAAGAAGACAACAGCAGGTAGCGAGTTTTACACATTTAGCAGAGTATGCTAGAGCTGATAAAGGAACAGAATGCTATATCGATATTGTTCTATCTCTATTTATTCATAGGTTAGCTAATATATGATATTCAATATTACTAGCCTTATAACCTGTCGCATTGCTAATAAACTATGACTCATAACCTTATTAATATTGCTCCTACAAATCCATGTATGCAAGAGTTATTTAATTGTTGATATCAAAGCATGATACTTACTTCACTGTTATACTACCATTTTTGGGGGATCCAAGATGCAAGACATACCGTAGTTGAATGGGCAGACGGGATCGAAAAATCACGCTAAAATCATTTCACCTTCCGTATAGCAAAGCTAATTTCTTAAGTGAGATCTTAAACGCTTACAAATAGTAACGTATACAGCATCCTTAGCCTATTCCATAGCTAAAGTAAATACAATCTCCTTTCAAGAATTAACGCTATAAAATGTTGTAAAATTTGATCAGACTATGAAAACTACAAAACAAAACTCCGAAATATGGCCTTTAATATGCAGCAGACTCACAGGGAGTGCTGTACACTGTTAAAACCGACTCTTGCACATATC